GGGGGCAAGGCCTCCAGCGATGAACCTTGTCCAACGAAGCTAAATCGCTGGAGGGGAAGCGAATGGAGACGTCCATTCGTGTACCTGCAACCGGAACGTTTGATCAAGCTGTGACTCCACTCTCCACGTTTTTGATTCATGGTTCTTCATGATACCTCCCACAAACCCTCTCCCCACCGCCGCCTTGCGCCGCTTTGCAGCCGACTTTGAATGTCAGATCGTTTTCGAGTGCAGCTGCCAACATTGTTCAACAATACGGTTTTCTGCGGACTCATGCACCTTTCCGTTCCCTCACCTTCCTTCCCAACGTGGGAACTGAGTGTAACTGAATACCAATGTCAGAGTGTGTCACTTGATCAGTTGATTGATGCAGCTGTGATCAAAAGAACCCACAGCCCAAAGAGCACCTTGTTGGCCCAGGAATGAGGATCTTCCGAAGAAGTCTGGACATGCAGAAGACCAGCCTGTCTCCCTGAACCCATGAAGGGTCAGCAGCGCGTCAGGCCTGCACTTAGCCCTTTATCTCAGTGGGCACAAGCCGCTTGGGCAACAGCCTTCAGAAAAAGTGAGAAGTGGGCCGACAGGTACGCAGCATCAGACGAATTAAAGCTAGAGATTGTGATGATGTGTGCTGTGTCTAAACAAGTCTTGGAGCTTTCTCACGAGTTTTTTGCTTGCAAGCTGTGAGCACTCTTGTGTGAAGCCAAGTGCCCAGGGCTGCCATGCCCCCAATTGTGCCACAAAGAGCAAGGTGCAGTTTTGGGGGCAGTGAGTCGGCTTGCTTGATTGTCCCTTTTGTTTGCAAGCGTAGATGGTGCAGTTGCACCCGCACTTCCGACCCATTCAAAAACATGTGAACTCGGGGTATCTCGTGGTGGCGAGCCCTCCGTAACAAGATACCTTGTCATGCTTGGTCAAGGGCCGGTACTTGTTCTCCTTGAACCCTTGGAACACTTGGCATTTGCTGTCAGAATGCACCTCTTCCATGACCTGTGACAGGGCCCCAGAGCTGCAACTTGAAGATTTCCTTGGAGAATGGCAACTTGGTCCCAGACCGGTGGGAAGACCTTGTTGAGGAAGACTGGGAATTGGCACTGGTGCCCGGCTGAGTCAGAGTGTGAGGCATTTGGGGGCAAGTGATGTTGACTTGGCTGTCGGGCTCTAACTGATTGAACACGAGCATCTCGCAGCTATATTCTTTTCACCCGGATCACGGATCATTCCAAAGTCTTGGCTTGCTGGCTTTCATGTGTTTATTCAAAGCCTTGTGCCATGTACAAGGCACGATACCATGGGCCACAAGGTGACTGTGGAGTGGCCTTGCTGCCATGTTGGCGTGAGGGAGTGGGTTGAGAAGCTTAGTGGCCTTTAGAGAAGTCTATGGCAGTGATGGGATCCTCACCCTAATATGCCCATCATGTGCATGAGTGTGCCTGTGGCTTTGCACACTGGGTTTGACTTCAAAGAGCTTCTTTACCCTTACACGGACTGGCAACCCGGCAGGGCCTGCACCAACACCAGTCGTGGTCAGCTGGAGGTGGAATTGTCCAAGAAAGGCAAGAGTGGCAAGAGCTGATGTTTGCCAGTGAGTCTGCCAGGAATTGTCCAATTGTCGACGACTCGCATGATGTTCCTGCAAGCCTGCAAGCGTACAATCGGAGGGGCGTTCCTTTTGATTCCTTTTGGCCTGTTTGCAGCTGTCCTGGCTCAAGGAACTGAGCAATCAGGATGGCCATTTGGTGCTTGCGCAATGGTCTCGATAGCGAGAGTTCAGACGAGAGTTTTGATAGTGAAGGCTGCAAAAAACCGACAGTTGCCCTAAATTTGCCTCAGCACAACTTATATTATATAGTCCTTTTTTACATTTGAAATGTGTTCTTTGCGATGGAAGGGAGTGAGAGGAAAACATGTAGGTTTGATCCTTCCTTTTTCATCATTTTCCTTATGTTCCTCAGCCTCCTCTTTCTTTTCATTGCGGCTTTCCTGGGATGTATCATTTTTTCGTCTAGGGTTTCGCCAAGTCAACAAGAATCGACCAACTGAGCCCAGACTGAGAGCTGGCAAACAAACAATAAATTATGCATATATTTGTATATATACAGGCATATAGCATAAGCACACAATTATCTAAGACATTTGTCTCCTAGTCGCTCTCCCATTTTCATTGAAGTCATCACGCAGAGTAAATGTTTGGAATGTGACATGAGTAAAGCAAGAGTTGCATTACTTGGTGCATTTGACCCCGACCTGCAACATGTCATTTCAAAGTTCAACAACCCACAGGGTTTGAGCTAGGCCTAGACCTAGCTTTCATTCGCCCAAGGACATTCATTCTAGGAACCATGGGCGGGTCCAAGGATTGGGCGAGTGTCCGACGGCGCGCCTTGTTCCGCACAGCTGCTGCAGTGGTTTTGGCCGCCATCGCCATTTTGGTGCCAATCATCAAGCCCGCTGGCACACTGCAGTTTTGCCATCCAGAGGAGGTCGGTGAAGAGGCCGGGCTTTTGCTGAAAATTTGATACTGGTAGTACAAAAATGCAAATGGCCACAAGGAAGGGTATCCTAAAACAATCTAAAGCAGTTGCTTGTGCATTTCTTGTTTGCAGGTGCGGTGAGAAAACTAGACACAACATAAGATGTAATTACATGTATATAAATACTTGTTGTTTCTTTGTGCGACCAACTTGCAGAAGGTTTGACTTCAGTTCCCGCTGCTGTTCGAGTGTGAGCCGCTAAACCAATTCATAAAACAAAACGCACTTGGAATTGATAAAAACACAACCTTGAGTTTTGCAAGTTTCCACGCTTCCGTAAAGATTTTTTCGTTTCCTCCAATATGCAATATGCGAATCCTTGTGCATTCGGGCGGTTTCAGTGATTCTGCATTTGCATTGTTTACATTAAAGGTCACAATTCCGTTTCCACTCACAAGCGTTGCTGCTCACGGACAGCACAAAAAACACTTTGTATAGCGCTATGGCTCGCTTAGGACATCCCTATGCAGCCTATGCGATGTGAAAGCAGCAAGAGAACTCAACATCCGTAAAACTCAGAGGTGGCAGTTTCACTACACAAAAATGGTCGTTGTTGTTGTTGTTGCTGTCGTCTACTAGTCCGGCGACGACGACTACTACTACTACGACTACTACTCCCACTACTACTACTACGACGACGACGGCGACGACTACTACTACTCTACTATGACTATGACTACTACTACTACTACTACGACTCCTACTCCTACTCCTACTACTACTACTACTTCTGCTGCTGCTGCTGCTCCTACTTTTGCTGCTACTGCTCCTTCTACTTCTGCTGCTACTACTCCTCCTGCTACTCCTGCTTCTGCCACTACTACTACTACTACTACTACTACTACTACTACTACTACTACCGTAGATGGACGAAATATTCAAACCCATTCAACCACGAGGACCCCTTCTACCCCAAAGCTCAATGTTAGAGGTCTTGCAAGAATGTTTCGGCGAATGGACGAAACAAATCAAACCCTGTCTGCACAAATTCAATCAAGTTATGTTCAACATTGACCTTTGGGGGTCAGGGGTTGGCAACAGTTATTGATACATGGGTTTGAATATTTGGTCCATCTACTGTCTAAAGGTGTGACGTTTGCATATTTTGGCTCGTAAGTATCAAGTCTAACATCTTCATCCGTAGTACTCTGTGTTTTAATCTTCTGCGCTCCTCAACTCTTTCACATCGACACGTTGCGAGCAAGGACAGCAGACGTCAGGAAAGCAAGCCAGATGAAGAGCAGTTCCAGCTACTGTTCTTACTGTTGCCATGTGCCGTGTCTGTTCCCAGTGCCTTTTTCAGTGCCTTTTCACGGTTTGTGTGCGCCTGCCAGTATTTTTGCCATGTGACTCACTTTTTTGCTAAAAAGAGAGAGCTTATCTTTTTGTTTCAACAAAACTTACCAGAAACACATTTTTGCTGGCAGGGCCACGAGAAAGTGCAAAAGGCACTGGAAAGGGACTGTGAACAGACACGGCACATGGCAACAGTAAGAACAGTAGCTGGAATTGCCCGGCATCACTTAAAAACAACACACGCATGTGCATCTGTAGGTCTCCGGTCGCCGTCCACACCCAGTACTGTCTAAAGGTGTGACGTTTGCATATTTTGGCTCGTAAGTATCAAGTCTAACCTAACATCTTCATCCGTAGTACTCTGTGTTTAAATCTTCTGTGCTCAACAGCTCTTTCACTTCGACACGTTGCAAGCGAGGACAGCAGACGTCAGGAAAGCAAGCCAGATGAAGAGCAGTTCCAGCTACTGTTCTTACTGTTGCCATGTGCCCTGTCTGTTCCCAGTGCCTTTTCCAGTGCCTTTTCACGGTTTGTGTGCGCCTGCCAGTGATTTTGCCATGTGACTCACTTTGTTGCTAAAAAGAGATAGCTTATCTTTTTGTTTCAACAAAACTTACCAGAAACAAATTTTTGCTTGCAGGGCCACGAGAAAGTGCAAAAGGCACTGGAAAGAGACTGGGAACAGACACGGCAACAGAAAGAACAGTAGCTGGAACTGCCCGGCATCACTTGAAAACAACACACGCATGTGCGTCTGTAGGTCTCCGGTCGCCGTCCACACCCAGTA